GAAACTATAGTTGTCACAAGATAATCCAGCTGGCCAGTCACAGGTCTGCTCCCAGGACAAGCCGCAAAGGCCGACATTACTCAACTTCAAAATCCAGTTGGAAACTATTCCAGAACAATGATGGGACCATTGACAATCCACCGGATTCCTGCCCCCTGTCAAGACCACTAGAGAGATATTGGCTCTCAGGTAAATTCGGGTAAACAGGGGGGTCTTTGAATGAATCTAGAAAGTTTACTCCTGACATTACAAAAGCACATGATGTATGTATATGGTGTCGGTGCCATTAGATAGAAATCTACCAATGACAACAAGTCTAGATCTGAATGATTGGTTCTGATTGGTTACTATGAGGAGCTCAGGATAAACAACGAAGGTCACTAGCATATCCTGGAGGGATTTATTCTGATGATTGTACTTGTTTGAGGAGGTTGACTCTCCTGTTGCCAGGTTACAGATAACATATACAAGCTTCACACGCCACTTAATTTGCAGCAATGAACAAGTGGTCACCAATAGTACTGCCCATTATAGTAAATTCCCCATGTACTATCCGTTATAGTAAGGTCCCCCCATGCAAGGTACTCTTCGTTAGAGTAAGGTCTCTCTGTACTTTTTGTTAAAGCAGGGTATTTATTGAGGTTCATAGACTTGTCTTCTGATGATTTGTTTCATCAGAGTGCATTAGAAGTGTTCACTTCCCGTCAGGTCTAGAATTCGTTTCTGCATTTGCACATTTTGCTTGATCAAATTTAAAAAAATATAATTAAAAACACGAATGATAAAAAAACACTGAATTTTGCCGATTTCTTTGTCACGATTTATGTTTTTCCGTGCATAAAATTCCACCGCAATTACTATTTTGTTCCTGTTATTATCTCTGAACAATCGGCAGTCACCTACTCCTCTGGTGTTTCCCAACCGTGCCACACTTCTCCATATTTATCAATTCCCGTCACACGAACGGAGAAAATATTCAGGGGGGAGAAGTTGGCCTTACCTCAGCCAACTGTGTGCCAATCACTCACTCTAACCTTCGCCTTCCACGAAAAAATCGCTACTCTTACTGAATCTTTTCACGGCTCCTCGAAATATTTGTTCGGTCAGCGTTTAATGATAAGTTTGCACAAGGTGATTATACCCAACCTCTCAGATTTGCGGAAGGAAGTATCTTAAACCCGGATTCATTTTCTTTCCTGGCCCTGAGAATGGTACCCAACTTCCTCTTGGCTCTGAGAATGCTGGCTAGCTTCCTCCTGGCCCTGAAAGTAGTGGCCAATAACTACCCTCCTGGACTTGAGAGAGGTGGCCATCATCCTCCCTCATGTATCTGAATGAGGTGTTCATCAGCCTCCCTCACATATGTGAATGAGGTGGCCAACGACCTCCCTCATGTCCCTGAGAGCTGGCCAATATAAGTGAAGGGTTCCTATAGGTGCATGAATAATTCTTATCCCAATACAATGCACAAACATTTATATACACAATTTTTTTCTGTATATAGAGTAGTTAGTGTCAGTGCAGTGTATAAGGAAGAGGGCGTACAGTGCCAAAGTATTATTTAGTGATATTATGAAACAGAGCATATTTTTATCTCTGTATGGACGAAATATTATTTACAAATATTATTTCTTGGTTATTTAAGATAATTAATTAATTAATAGGTTATTTAAGATAACCTATTAATACTTTTATTGAATTTAATAAACAAAGTCGAATTATTTAATCGAAACCAAAGTCGAATTATCTTATATTGGTATAATCAAGATTGTAGAGAGATAAGCATAACTCTCCAGTTCGGAAACCATTTAGATATTTAACAATAACAGAAGAGTATATTGTTCAATATATATTGAATACATGCGAATAAAATATTCACATATTTTTGATAAATAAAGCAAAATAATATATTCTAAATTATTCACCTAACTTCTTGTAAATAATTACAGATACTTCTCCTTAATTAAAAAAAAATTATAATATTATTCCTAATTAATATTCACATTTTCTCTAAATGTATTCTATGCTAACCATACATTTTAATGTGGGTACAGAGACGAGAAGCTCTCCACCCAGGTAGGTGCTGGGTATATTACTAGTTTACTTTATTTCAGTTTTCATGTTTCAGTGTCACCTTGTGGTTATTAAATTCATTATGAATCAATTTGTATATAAGAAGAGAACGCTCAGAGATTCGTCAGGATTTAATCTGGATCCTCATTGTACTTAGAATATTGTGGACCTTTACACAGTGACCTATCTCCTTACCCTGAGAGGGGTGGCCAGCAGCCTCCCTCCTGGCCCCTGAGAGGGGGTGGCCAGCAGCCTCCTTTTTGGCCCTGAGAGTGGACGCCAGAAATCACACATTCTTTTGGTTCCCAGGAGGCTTCGAGGCTTATCTCTTCCCATACCAAGGAGACTTATCTTCCCTGTTTCTTCGCATACGTAGGAGGCTTATCTAATTCATCTCTCCCAATATCACGGAGGCTTGTCTCCCAATACCCAAGAGGCTTACCTCCCTTGTCTCCCGTCAAACACAGTAGCCTTATCTATCCTATCTAAAAGATGTCGAACATATCAGCATAAGACATTAATTACACACTTTGTCCATATATATATATTATATATATATATATATATATATATATATATATATATATATATATATATATATATATATATATATATATATATATATATATATATATTCATTAAAAGTTGGTGACACTGGAGTCATTTGAAACCAGATTAATGTTGACAAAATGTATCAAAATATTTTCCAGAAAAGCAAGATTTGCTAAACTCCTAAACACTATTGATGAATAGTTATGCTTTACAACACTGCATTGTGTTCTCGGCACCAGTTTATTGCAGGTGTCGTGCATTGGCTAATTAATATAGGCATTACTCACTATATAACATGCTGCTCTTGATAAATGATGCTAGCATCGCTTTACTTGAGTTTACCGAGCAACAATAAGCTCTAGGTATTGCTACAATAATCTAAGCTTTAAGCCAGGGATTAATTGTATTGTTTGCATGGTCCCGCTGTCACGTATTGTTTCGTGTGAATGATGTTTAATCAGCGAAAGCTGATTATTATCTGCGTGTTGGTTTATTGCATAATGCAGCTCTGGTGCAAATGTGTGTTAGGATATATATTCCACCCCACGACTCGGTAGCAGCCTATTGGTATCCTGGCGAGTCTCCAGCAGTATACGGAGACCCACGACTCTGTCGCAGTTTATATATGCTTAATTTTTTTTAGACATATATGATAATGGCATTTATGTTTATTCTATTGTCTTTGAGACTGCAACGTATTCAACTGTTCAAGGGACATACACAGAATTCTACAGATAATTTTCTTTTAAGGGCTTCTTAAGAGAACAGGTTTACATTCTGAAGAGCTTCAAGTGTTTGAGGTGGGGGAAGTGTTCGTTGCTTCTGAGTAGCAGATCACCATCACCCACGGTGATAGGAGGGACGGCCACGACACCAGTCACCAGTCTAACCCACAAACGAACAATAGATTCGTGCGGTGTTAAGGTTTGTTAAAATAAATACCCGCTGCCACATATATGGCAATAGAGAGACATTATGTAGTAAATGCATCAACTCGCGCCAAAACGCTGCAAGCACCGTAAACAAAGGTGGCTCTTAACGTCACCTTCGTTATTTAAAAAAAACGAATTTATCTAAATGATGGAGTTAGTTACAAGGAATGTTAATGCAGATGGAGTTAAACAAGCAATATCTCCGTCAAACTATTGATGAAAGTAATTATATGCAATGCCTCTCCTTAAAGAGAGGCATCGCTTACATTTACGATGTAATTGTAGAAAATTACATTGAAGCATTGAAGCTAATCAATGCTAGTTACATTGAAGCTTGGGGTAGACATAACATGAATAGAATCTCAAACAACACACACTTTGCTAACCAACGATCTTTTCAAAATGCTTTATTTAAGGTATGTTTGACCTACATTATGGTTCGCAGGACCAGCATGGACGCTCCTCAAAAATCATGCCAAATAACGGAAAATTTCTGATTGATTAAAGCATAGGTTGGATATATATATATTAACACCAACAGCACCAGCTGGCTCGCCTCCAGCACAAACCGTCATTCATTACGTTCCAGCTGTCATTCACCTTACCTTCCTCATCATCATTCTCTCCCCCATTTATTCCTCATTTTTATTAAATTTTCATTTTAATCCTCATGCTCCTTCTTCTCACAATGTCCCAATCTTACTCACACTTAATGCACTGAAATTCAGTGCATATTGACGCGCCATCGAACATATGAGAGGTTTAGGGGTTTGTCATAGTTTGAACGGTTCTGGTCAGGCAAATCCACCTCGAATTTGATGCTTGTGAAGTCATGACATTGACATACACATTAATAAAACATAATTACATTGCTGCAACATTATTGGAATTTTTTTATGATGTAAAAAAGATGGCAGACAGGCTGTCATGAATGCAAGCAGATAGAAATGAAGGCAGACAAGCTGTCAGGAAGACAGACAGCTCAGATACCTCTGGGCATGAGCAATGCCTCATAATGCAGTTACACATAGTGCGTCATTATTCATTTACTGGTCTATTTATCAGACAATTATGCAGAGCCATAGGAAAGGACAACCATACAGCTGAGGCAGGCAAGCACCATCACCTAGCAACCGAAACACATCCACCTAGCAACCGAAACACATCCACCTAGCAACCGAAACACAATCTCCTAGCAACCTAAAGACAACCACCTAAATACTGCCCCTGGCAACCTAAACATAAATATATAATTTAATATAGATGATATGTAAAACCAACAACATTCAAGCAATGGTTCGTGTCTCACTGAGCCACACCAACAATTTAGCGAGGTCATGACATTGAAGCATCGATAACATTGATTTATGGGGCTGCCTTGACCTATCACAAAATAGATCTTCGAAGCAGAAGGATGAGCGTTTGTGACTTTTATTGAAGTAAATGTTTAGGTTCGATCGTCAGGGTGGAGCTGGGGTCGTCAGGGTGGAGCCAGGGTCGTCAGGGTGGAGCCAGGGTTGCCAGGGTGGAGCCAGGGTCGTCAGGGTGGAGCCAGGGTCGTCAGGGTGGAGCCAGGGTCGCCAGGGTGGAGCCAGAGTCGTCAGGGTGGAGCCAGGGTCGTCAGGGTGGAGCCAGGGTCGTCAGGGTGGAGCCAGGGTTGCCAGGGTGGAGCCAGGGTCGTCAGGGTGGAGCCAGGGTCGTCAGGGTGGAGCCAGGGTCGTCAGGGTGGAGCCAGGGTCGTCAGGGTGGAACCAGGGTCGTCAGGGTGGAGCCAGGGTCGTCAGGGTGGAGCCAGGGTCGTCAGGGTGGAGCCAGGGTCGTCAGGGTGGAGCCAGGGTTGCCAGGGTGGAGCCAGGGTCGTCAGGGTGGAGCCAGGGTCGTCAGGGTGGAGCCAGGGTCGCCAGGGTGGAGCCAGAGTCGCCAGGGTGGAGCCAGGTGCAACAAGTCATTCGAGAGAAGCGTAAATCAAAGAGAAACTCGGTTTAAAACAGAGAGAGGCGAGAACCATAGGGCAGGTTGAACGCTAATGAATTTATTAAAAGTGACTAGAGTGGGTCAATAGAGATTAAAGTGAATCAATAGAGGTTAAAGTGAGTCAATTCAGGTTAGAGTGGGTCAATAGCGGTTAATTGAGGTTAAGTGGGTCAATAGAGTTTCGGCAGATAGCAATTGACTTGCTATCTGCAGTCAATTGAGAGGCGAGTTGCTAGCGAGAAGAGTAAGAGAAGACAAGATCGACAATTCACAACAGGAGAAACCTCAATTTCAGTTTAAGGAGTATAAATTCCGCCTAACTAATCTACACACACACATGGGCCTCGCTAATGAGTGGACAGCGCTCTGACATCGTAGTTCTAAGGGCCCGAGTTCGATTCTTGACAGAGTCAGAAACAAATGGGCAGAGTTTCTTTCACCCTGGTGTGTCTGTTCACCTGACAGAAAATAAGTACCTTGGAGTTTGACAACTGTAATGGGCTGCTTCCTGGGAATGTGTGTGTGTGTGTGTGAGAGAGTGCGTGTGAAAAATATGTAGTAGACATAATAGAGGAAAAATAAAATTGGTTAGAAAGGCGGGGTCCATGAGCTAAAAGCTCGATTCTGCAGATACAAATAGTAAATGCACACACACATGCACACGCGTATATGCATGACAGAGTTATCAATACGAGGGCTATTTCTGACATAATTTTCAAATAACATTTTCATAATTAAACACCACATGCACATCAAAGTTTCAAGGTCTTGAAAATATTTTCGAACCCAGCAAAATATAGGAAGCAAAACATATTTTTCGGCGAGTTTTCTCAATGTTGATTATGTTGAAAAATGTACGGTGAGCTTGCCACGACAAGCTTTCAAGAAAGTTGTTGGGTAGCAGAGCTGAAACCAATAGAATCAATATTTTCAAACTCCTTATTTAAGAACTCAGAACTAACATTTGAAGGACAAATACACAAAATATCATCAACATACCTAAACCATGGAATAGTTCCATGGGTAACCTTACAAATTTCTTTTAAAGAATCCATGCAATTTTGAATGCAATATAGATAGTGGATTCCCAATCGCCATACCAAAAGTCTGTATATAATATTCATTATTACAAGTAAATTTACATTCTTTTATATAATGTTATAAAAGATTGACAATAATATCAGAAGACAGAGGTAATTCATAGTTCATTAATTCATGAGCAAAGCAAGAATATTGTCAATAGGAACTTTTGTAATTAAAGACCATATATCAAAATATTAATTTAACATTAGAATTAATTGAAACATTGTATATTAAGTTAACAAATTAAACAGAGAGTTAACCCAATGTGAACATGAAATAGTATCTAACAGTAGGGGTAAATATTCTGTTAGAAGTTGTCAAATATCTAATGCTTTATTTGTTCACTTATCAGAAAATGCTCATCAAACTGATTAGGGGAATGTCGTCTTCAATAACAAAGTGTAAAATGATTTTCAAAAGAAACATTATTGAATCTGCTTTAATACAAATTACAATGCCACACAATTTGAATATTAATAATGCTTTGTACAATTTTGATCCATTTTTAATGGATGAATTAAATAGCGACCTAGTAAGAATATTAATACACAGATATCCCATTAGGGGTTTTAGGAATAAAAATGTATTAGTCTAAACTAATGGATGAATAGACTGAGACATGACTGAGACTGATGGATGCCTACTAGTCATTATAGGGATAGTGTTTCCAGGGTCTTCTTTAGTTACATCTTATTAAGTTATAAAGAGATTCTTTTACCCCTCACCCATCACCTTCCTGTTTATATATCCAAGAGCTGTATTCAGTTACTGTTAAGTGCCATTTATGTCCGTGCCATCTCTTGGATGGCTTAATCTTCATCAATAATTCATCAGTTATTTTACTTTTGATAATGTGTTGATTAAATACAAAAGTGCTCAGGTCCATTCTTCTTTAATATTGCCTTCCTTGTTAAAAAAGACAATTTTCACATTATTCATCACGTGTTGGTTTCTTCACGATTCATTCTCTACCTTATCTTGAGGTTATCTTGAGATGATTTCGGGGCTTAGTGTCCCCGCGGCCCGGTCCTCAACCAGGCCTCCACCCCCAGGAAGCAGCCAGTAGCAGCTGTCTAACTCCCAGATGTTAGACTACCTGAAGATGTTCCAGATAAAAACAAAACGTTGTAGAAAATAAACCCTTCAATAATTACTAGTTTCTTTACCAAGAATTTTGGTAATATGGTTGATCTTTTTAATACTGATACTAAGAAAATAGAAGCATAGAAAGCTTACACTATATAATTAACACTGCTAGCAAAGCGGTCATTTTTAACCAAATATGTTTAAACAACGCTTGTTGCCCAAGTGCACAAATATCTATTATATAGACATGCAATATTTTTAATAATTAGCCAAATGTACTACATTGTTATTTTATTGTGTAGGAATCCAAAACTGGAACCACGATATATTTTTACATTTTAATTATGTGAAACAAAATATATTTTTTTATATATGTTGAATTCGGCTTTTGCGAGGAAAATTAATAAAATTTAATATAACAAATCTCACTTACTCCCTCTCTCTCTAACCATCTAGTTTTTCGTCTCCCTCTGTCCCCCTTCACCTCTTCCTCTATACCCTTCTCTTTCTCTCTACCTCTCATTTTCCTTTACACAGGTGGTTGCAGGAACAGACAACTTCTCACTTCTATTAGCAAGCTTAGAGCTTTCCCTCCCATAGCTCATGTAAGCCTTACCCACTAGTTTTCCCTGAACCACGAACAGTTAAGGATTGGTTTCCAGACAGGACTGTCTGACCAGGACACGGAAATGGACCAAATCGCTCACGTGGCGCAGGGTAAGCGTGTTTTCTATGCTTCCCCATGGACTCTCTTTTCTTCTCTTTGTCTCACGTCTCACTGTCTCTTTGACTGTCTGGCTCTCTGGCTCTGTGACTGTCTGACTGTCTGACCGTATGGCTCTCTGGCTCTCTGTCTGTCTGGCTCTCTCTCTCTCGCTCAATATCTCTTTCAACCAGCGAGAATAATATGATCATCTTCTCATCACATCCGTATGCAACATACTGTGTTGTATGTGTGTGTATACTGTGATACTGTGTGTATCTTTTTGTATTTCCTTTCCCTCTACCTCTGACACTACCAATTTCTTCTCTAAGGAAGCGTGAAAGGCTCATTTTCAAAACGTGGAAATTAAAATTTTTGGTTATTATTTTTCGTCCCAAGTGAATAAGAAATAATCAGATGACTCGTGCTGGAATTATAGATCTAAACCTTTAGGTCGTATTCAAAAGAACATCTAAAAGAACGTCTGATTCAATATTATATGTTTTTTTAGGCAGGGATAATTATTATATTATTATTATTATAATAATTATTATAAAAATAATTATTGTATTTAATAATTATCACTCTTCCTCCTGCTTGGTCTTGAAGGAAGTCGGCCTCGGTGGAAGGGGGCTGTGACGATCTCTATCTGGAACCGGTAGGTGCGGGACCGGGACGTCCACCTCCTTGGGTTCGTTCAGCCAAGGCTTTGCTTCAGGAGGCTGGAGTCGTTCTAGCCCTTGATGGGGGTGGTTCTTCTCCGGCCCCGACCATGACGGTATCCGGGTCTGGAGTCCCTGTGCCTTCTTTCACCCACTTCGAGGTCAACTCCGGAACTCTCAGTTCCTGCGACGGCGCTGGAACCAATCGTATTGGCATTGCCTTTCCATTGGAAACTTTCGGCGCCGTGAAGAGGGGGGACCTGCTGCATGGGTAACAGCTTCTCCTTCTTATCAACCTACCTTGGCTTTGCGCCCTGGAGAGGCCACTCAGACCGACAACCTGAGTGCAACCCCATAGTCTCCTAAGACTGATGGATGCCTACTTTTTTGGCAGCAACTGAATAAGTTGAATTCCCTTTAGAAATGTTTTCCGAAAAACGTTAATTATTTTGCACAGATAAATACATAAAACTTATGATATGCCGAAAGCGATGGTAACATTGTCTTGCGCGAGATTCTCTGCATCGTTTGTCAGACATTAATGGTAGACAAACAGACGTTCAGTACGCCGTGTGCAGCAACAATTGGTGCTTCTGTTCCGAGGTGCGATGCACGAGGGGTATACATATCACCGTGTACGCAATGGGGAGGAAACGTAACTTTTAATGGATTTATGGTGGGAAATACCCTCTGTTCTCGGAATGTCACGTGACCATTGACCCGAGTTACATACAAGGTGCTTTGAGTGAAGACTTGTATTTAGATGGGATTGTCAGGGGATTTCACATTCAAGATCGTATAGTTGCAGCTGACATCATACATTTTCATTTATTGTAGGTTAGTTGCACATTTATCAGTATGTCTGTCTGTCTGTCTCTCTCTCAATTTTCTTACACCTACTTTTCCCGACATTTATTTCAGGTGTTGCATGCTAAGCAGCCTCGCAGGTCAGTGGGACAAACCCGTGAGGCTGGGAGGAGCCTGTGAAGTGTACTGGGTGCCTATGAGACTGGAAGGTACCCGTAAGGTAGGCTGGGTGCCCGTGGGACTGAGAGGTGCCCGTGAGGTTACGAGGACCCCATGAGGTTGGGTGGGTGCCCGTGAGGTTAGGAGGACCCCGTGAGGTTAGGAGGACCCCGTGAGGTTAGGAGGACCCCGTGAGGTTGGGTGGGACCCCCGTGAGGTTAGGAGGACCCCGTGATGCTGGGTGGTTGTCCGGACCCACAAAAAACCCACGTCTTAGAAACTGGTGCCGGGCAGGAATGCATAATTCACAGCTCCCGCGAGGCTGCAGGCCATTAACTCGGAGTTTCCGTGTGCTCGCATAAGACACCATTCTTCTCCTGGCGCACTTGCAAGCTTCCAGAATACTCGAGTTAGTTGGAACTTTATAGCTTAAGCTTAGCATCAGGAATTAAGTTGTTCTGAGATGTGCAATATTTTGGAAGTTCAGAAAAACAATTAAGTGATGGTCATCA